TCACGGGACTGAAGGTTTCGCCATAGTCTATTCCATCACGCTAAGCAAAGCCACGAGAAACATATCGGGCTTTATGTCGGGTGATGTTACCTTCCTTATCATGTTTAATACGGAAAACCCACTTACAACTAACAACATTTTGAGAAGGAGAGAAGGGAACTAGAGACCAGGTGCCATTTTTCTGGAGAGCAACAATTTCTTCATCCATTACTTTCCTCCATATAGGGCTTTTTAAGGCTTGAGTAATTGTTTTGGGAATGGTGGAAGCATGGACTTCTGCATTTAGGTTGAGTTTGTTTATGGGCTTGCGTATGCCATGTTGAAGTCTTGTGACAATTTGTGGGGAGGGGGAATCATAGGACGGTGATGAGGGAGGAGAGTGAGATGTGGGAGAGGATTGAGGCAAGGAAGTGGAGGAAGTATGATCATGCGAAGAAGATGCCGTATGGGTGGGTGGAGAAGAGGAGTTTGCAGGAGTAGTGTGTTGTGTCTGACTTGAGGAGCATAAAGTGTGATCATCATGAGATGAATGAGTAATGGAAGGTAAAGGAGGAGATAAAGTAGAAATGGATAATGGAGCCCACTAATCAGCCAAATTAGTAGGGGAATAGGTGGGTGGGTGGGTGGAGTGAAGCAAAAGGAAATACTTGTTCATTGAAGTGTACATGGCGTGAGACGTATACCTTTTTAGAATTTAGATCAAGACAGTAATATGCACTTTGTGATGGGGAGTAGCCAATAAAAACACAAGGAGTGGACTTTGGGTCAAGTTTATGAGATGAGTAGGGTTTTAGCCAAGGATAGCAAAGAGACCCGAAACACCGAAGTTTGAGATAATTAGGATGGTGACCAAACAATTTGTAATAGGGTGAGACATTTTTAAGAGTAAGAGTGGGAAGCCTGTTTATTTAGATAAGCCATAGTAGAGGCAACATTATTTGACCAATATTCGAGAGGAATACTAGCATGAGCAAGAAGAGAAAGGAAGGTTTCAACAATATGTCTATGACGACGCTCGGAATAGCCATTGTGTTGAGGGGTGTGAGGTGGGGTTGTAAGATGAGAAATGTCGTCAATAGTAAGACAGTTTTGAAGAGTTAAGTATTCACCCCCATTATCGGAGTATAAGACCTTGAGAAGAAGTTGGAAGTATTTTTCAACAAGAGATTTATACCGGATGAATATTTGTTTTGTGTCCGATTTTTGCTTGAGATTGTATAGCCATATATATTTAGTATAGTGATCTATAAAAATGAGATATTACTTAAAACCATCATGGGAATAAACAGGAGAGGTCCAAAGATCAATATAAACATATTCAAGGGGAGCTTTAGAGACAATAGAAGATGTAGCAAATGGGAGTTTATGACATTTATTACAAGCACACAAGTTACAATCTAAAATAGAGATATTAGGGACATTTATTTTATTTTCAGAGACAATTTGCCTAAACACATTCCGAGAGGGATGGCCTAAGTGATGGTGCCATGTAAGAGAACTCATTGTGCTCGTGTAGGTAGTAGGAGGAACGAAAGGAAATTCTTAGATGCCATTACTAGTTTTCCCTTGGAACAGAAGATTCCCCGTTGAAAGATCCTTCACAAGAAAAGAAGAAGAAGTGAAGGTTATAGAGATATTATTGTCAAGACATAATTGAGAGATAGAAATGATATTTTTAGACATGGATGGAACAAATAGAACATTATTTAATGTAAGAGAAGAGATAGAACAAGAACCAAAGTGAGATATTTTGAGACCCTTACCATCTCCAATGATCAACTCTTTGGTACCATCATACGGGGCATGGAGGGATAAGTTATTGAGATCGGTAGTGACATAATGAGAAGCCCCACAGTCAAGAAGCCATTGACCGGAGGAAGATGGATTGGATAGTTGAGTGTTGTGAGCTTGAGGTGTGTGGATGGTCTAAGGTTTTTGAGAGGAAGTATAACGAGAGGGGGGAGTAGATTAGGAAACTGTTAAATGAACAAAGGACATTGCGCAACCACATGACCTTGTTATCTACACCATTAACATTTACCAAGAAAGGGGCGTGGTTGTTTGGGAGTAGGAAGGATACCTTGAGTGTTTTGCCGAGGAGGAGGACGATTGGAGAATTTTGAGGATGCAGCAAAAGCAGTGGCTTGAAGGGAAGAGTCATGGCGTTAAGATTGTTGAATAGAGAGCTCTTTGGTAATGAGTTTCTCATGTAGCTCTTCAAAGGAAATGGTGGAGTCACGGGCATTAATAGAATCAATGACAGATGTTGACCTTTTTGGTTTTGATGGACAAACTGACAAACTTGACTAACAAGAGTTTTTAAGTCTTTGGTGAATAAAGGGTTCAAGCACAGTTCGTTTCGGAGTAGGAACTTGATACAAAGGATGCGGAGTAGCATCAAAAGGCCTCATGCAAAATCTTACGATCTAGTGTTAAATGTAAACACTCAAAATATAAGTTAGTAAGGAACTCGATGACTTACGTTATAAATAATACTACTGGAATAAAATTGTTTTAAAGATTTATATAAAACTGTTTTTAAATAAATAGATTTATTTTTGGGAAAGATATTAAATATTATCTAAGTAAGTTTTTCGAATAAAGATAATTAACTTTAGTTGATTATCTTAAGTTTTAAAATAGATAAATATTTTTAATATCTTTTTCAGAATAAAATATATTTAAAGAAAATCTTTTTAACAGATAAATTTGAAGGAGTCAAATAATTGTTTTTAAAATTGCTTGATTATCTCAAGGCAACGGTTTTGTGAAGCATTATTTTAGTGAAACAGTTATTTACGTGGGATAAGGAGAAGTTTGAGAAACTTCCACTACCCTGACTATTGTCACGATTCTCCACTACTAGTTAGTGGATGTTGACAGGTTAGTGGTCAAGGTGGGAGTTGAGGATCAAATTTCTCTATATAAACCACGAAGCTATTCATTGCAAAATACACCTCTTAAGCTTCTATATTCCAGTATACTAAATAACGTAAAGAGAGTTCTTATCTTTTCTTATATTCTTGGGTGTACTAGGTATTTGTAATTGCAATTTGTAATCAAGTACTTGGGGTTTGGGATTGTGAGTTTTGTATTAGTGAGGTTAAGGAAACTTCATAGTCGAAGTTTCTATGAGAGTTGGGAACAAGTTCCAATCTTGTGGAACTTGTTACGGGTTTGAATCTTCACTTGTAAAAGAGTTTATTTACATAGTGGAAATTTACAAAAGCCTACATCATCTCTCTTTACTGTTTTACTTAGTTAAATTCCGCAAAAAGTTGTAAACTTCACCTACTCTACAATCAACCCCCCCTCTTGTAGAAGCCAGTTATACTTTCAACAGAGTTATAAGAATCATCAAGACCGGTGAGGATTTTGTCAATTAAATCCTCATCTTCAATAGGCTTCCCTAGTGCAGCCAAATGATCGGCACATTCCTTCAAGGAATGCATGTAATCAGTAATGGAGGAACCGCCTTTAACAGTGCGATGAAATTTATCCTTGAGTTGCTTAATGTGACTACGAGAGGGGAGAGCATAGGTGTTATGGAGTTTATTCCATAGTTAAGCCGAGGTTTTGGCTTGAGAGAAAAGAGGAACTAGATTGGGAGAGATGGTCCCCATAAGAGCTCCGAAGAGGATGCGGTCTTGACGAACCCAAAAAGTATGCAGTGGGTTGGGCTCTTCATTTCCGTCAACGACGATGGTTGCAAGTGGACATGGATGACTCTTATCCACGAATGAAAGAATATCGTGACCCCCTAATAATGCCTCACCTTGGAGTTTCCAAGAGAGATAGTAGTGGGCAGTTAGTTTGATAACATTGTGCATATTGAGAATGATGAATGGTTTTGCAGGATTGTTGGCATTGGACAATTGATAGGAGGGAGAGCCGTTGTTGAGAAGAGCCATGGTGGAAAGAAGCAGCGAAGAAGAGGATGGTGTTATTTAGGACCAAGAATCTGATACCATATAGAGAGAAGAGAGAGAGAGAGAGAGAATATTGTTTTTCTTGTATTACAAAAGAGCAGGCAGCACAAGTACATAGAAAAATATATACAGAATCCCTATAATTAGGGAGAGTATAAAATATAGAATACATGATTGAGAGGATAGTGCCTAGAATCAAGGAGAATAATGTGGAAAGGATTTTCAATCCTTATTACTGTTATGTCTTATGGGATGGATCGAACGGAATCCCTGTTCAATAGGAGACACACGAGTGGTAGTACCAGAATCTAACGACTAAGTACTTTTACGCACTTGTATAAGTTTCGATTCAAAGCAAAAACAACTATAATGCATATCTTTTCTTCTTGAGCCAAGCTATTGTTTCTTGAAGTGTCCAGATTTCTTACATAAGAAACACTTCTTTTCCTTTTGGATTTGAGTTTTATGACCTTTTATAAAAGTCTTATCCTTCATCTTGTTCTTGTAAACATCATGTCCTATAAGATGGATTGCTTGTTCCTTTCATATTTCTTTAATCTTCCCTCTTCTTGAACCAACATAGCTTTCAATCATTGAAAATTCCATTCAATATATTAATGGAAAGAAAGTAAAAGTTCCCTTCATGAACAAAAAATGTGTCATACTTCGACTATGGAATCTTCGAGGGATGTCAGGTGCTAAGGATGCTATACAACGATGGCAAAAAGGCAAGGAGATTTTCTATGTACATCTTCTTGCCGAAAGCTAAGGATGGGTTGCCAACTCTCATGGAAAACATCAAGATGGATGCGAGCATGTTTAAGGACAAAATCGAGCTCAAGAAGACACGCATTGACAAACTTTCAGTTCCTAAATTTGACTCTTGGGGCCTATGAAAGCTTTAGGATTGACAATGCCATTTAATAAGCATGGTGAGGATCTTTGAGAGAATATTTGCCGTGCCTTTCTCATTGATCATGAAACAGTATATAATACAAGCGTAAGCTAGGTTAGGGTTAAGGCTAAACTAGTAATTTACAAACTAATTACATACTAGATTATATACATAATCTAACACTCCCCCGCAGCCAAAGCGGGAGGACCATGAACGCTTAGACTGTCCCGAAAATCATCAAATAAAACCTTAGGCAGACCTTTGGTGAAGATATCTGCAATCTGGTATCGGGAAGGCACATGTAGGACACGTACTTCGCCCCTTTGAACTTTCTCACGAACAAAGTGAATGTCCATCTCAATGTGTTTAGTGCGCTGATGCTGAACCGGATTACTAGAGAGATAAATCGCACTAACATTGTCACAATAAACCAATGTTGCTTTCGAAATAGGAAGAAATAGCTCGAGCAACAAATTGCGAATCCAGCAGGATTCTGAGACCACATTGGCAACCCCTCTGTACTCTGATTCACAACTAGACTTAGACAAAGTGGGTTGGCGTTTGAAGACCAAGAAATCAGATTGTCACCAAGGTATACACAATACCCCGATGTGGAACGACGAGTATCCGGACACCCGCCCCAATCTGCATCCGTGTATGACACAAGGGTAGAAATAGGAGATTTATGCAGTTGTAAACCAAAATCTGTCGTACCCTTAATGTATCGTAGAATGCATTTCAACGCATTCATGTGCTCAACACGGGGCGAGTGCATAAATAAGCAAACTTGTTGAACTGCATAAGAGATATCTGGTCGGGTGAATGTCAAGTACTGCAAAGCACCATAGAGGCGCCGATAAGAAGTAGGATCGTCATACAAAGCACCCTCCTGAGTACTCAATTTGCCTTTGGTGTCAACAGGAGTAGCTGAAGGCTTGCAATTTGCCATTCCTGCTTTTTCCAAAATTTCCTGCGCATACTTCTTTTGAGATAAAAATAGACCACTTTTACCTCTAGTAACAGCAATACCCAAAAAAATAACTCAGAGGACCCAAATCCTTCATTGCAAATTCAGAGCTGAGCCGAGAAATAATATGTCGGCGGAGAGATTCCGATGAAGCAGTAAGCACAATATCATCAACATATAGAAGTAGATAAGCAGTATCATTACCATGGCGATAGATGAACAAAGAGGTATCATATTTGCTATTAGAAAAGCCAATAGTAGCCACAAAATCTGCAAACTGTTTGTACCACGCACGGGGTGCCTGTTTGAGACCATAAAGTGACTTGTCTAATAAGCAGACATGATCAGGTTTATTAGGATCTCTGAATCCCATAGGTTGATACATGTAAACCGTTTCATTCAAATTACCATGTAAGAAAGCATTTTTGACGTCCAATTGATGAATTTGCCAAGACTTAGCCAAAGCAATGCTAAGAACCACCCGAATAGTAGCCGGTTTAACAACCGGGCTAAAAGTCTCATCACAATCAATGCCTTCCCTTTGAGTTTTACCATCACCAACAAGGCGAGCCTTATGCCTCTCAAAAGACCCATCAGACTTAGTCTTATGCCGAAAAATCCACAATGACCGAATTATGTTCACATTCGGTGGTCGCGGAACCAATTTCCAAGTACCATTTTCAATAAGAGCATCATATTCTTCCTGCATAGTAATTTTCCAATTATGGTCACGAAGAGCGGTAACCGGGTTCTTTGGAATGGGTGATATGGAGGTGGTAGTATGATGTGTGTGGTCTTGGTATTTGGGATTTGGTTTCACAATTCCATGCTTGCTACGAGTAGCCATGGAGTGCGTGGGCATTGGGGATGGTGCGGGAACATGAGTAGGAGGGGAAAGATGCGGCTGTGATGATGGGGAAGAGGTGGCAGCAAGCTGCCGTGGTGACACAGGGGTGGCAGCAAGAGGAGAAGGGGGTGATAAGGGTGAGGCAGCAGTGGGAGAACATGGTGATGAGGGTTCGTGCTGCTGCTGCACTACCTCGCTCACCGCGCTGTGTGGGGCAGGGGGCTGTGCGGGCTGAGCAGACGCAGCAGTTTGCTGTACCCTCCCCACTCCAGCGCCTGCTGGATCCCGTGTGGGTGAGGTAGCAGCAGGCTGCTCCTGATGCTGCCGCAAGATAGGGAGAGGAAGGGGACCTAAGGCATCACCCAAAAAATCATAAGTATGTTCATTTGGGGTATGAATTTTAGAAAATGGGAAACCCGACTCATCAAACCAAACATGCCTAGCTATTATAATTTTACGACTCGAGATATCAAAACACTTGTAGCCCCTATGATTAGACGGATAACCAATAAAAACACAAGGAGTAGAACGAGATTAAAGCTTGTGAATTTTAGTGGAAGGAAATAGAGGGTAACAAAGACAACCAAACACCCTAAGATGAGAATAAGCGGGATGTTTTTGATATAGAATTTGAGTCGGAGATTTATAGCCTAGGAGTTTGGTAGGAATGATGTTATGAAGGTATGTGGCCATTTCTAAAGCATGATGCCAAAAGGTAGGAGGCATGGAGGCATGACTAAGAAGAGTACGAACAACATTGTTGATCGTTTTGATTTTTCTTTCGGCTTTGCCATTTTGAGGAGAAGAATATGGACAAGAGAAGCGAAAGGTCATGCCATGTTGTTCACAAAATTTTTGAAATGGAGTGTTGGTAAATTCCGTGCCATTGTCACATTGAAAAGCTTTTATTTCTTTTTCAAATTGAGTCTTAATATATGTTCGTACACTAAGAAACAAGTTGTGAACTTGGGATTTGGATGAGATAGGAAAAGTCCAAAGAAAATTCGTGTAATTGTCAAGGAATAGAACATAAAATTTGTGACCAAGAGAGCTAACAATGGGAGAAGTCCATAAATCACTATGAACAATATCAAAGGGCATAGTAGTAAAAGACATAGAATCATAAAATTGCAATTTCATTAATTTTCCCAAAGGACAAGAATGACAAACGTGATTTGTAGCCTTATTACAATTTATGAGTTTACTACTACGTAAAGAGCTAAGAATTGCATTTCCCGGATGACCTAAACGGGAATGCCACACACTACGAGAAACAACTGCAAAAGCTGACGGAATAGAATTGGAAATGACTTGACGATCATTGAAGAAGGGATAAAGATCGCCATGGCTATTACATCTCACTATTTTGCTCCCCGTCTGCAAATCCTTCACAGAAAACCCAAACGGATCAAATTCAATTGACACATGATTATCAATAGTGAATTTTCTAACAGAAATTAGATTTTTGACAAGTTTAGGCACGTGTAGGACATTTTTGAGTTGAAGTGTGTTTCGGTTTAAGGATTTGTGACCATAACCATGAATTGGAACTTTGCTACCATCACCAACAATAATATTATTATTATTATTTTTGCTCAAATGAAAATATGACGACAAGTTACCTTGAGAGTTTGTCATATGTGAAGTAGCACCGGTATCCATGTAGTAATTCGGGTCGGCAAGAGACATTGTATGCATAGCTTGCTCGATGTTGGTTGGCACATATCCTGAGGAAGAAGGAGGAGGAGAAGACATGAAATATGCCTGCTGTGGACGAGCACCGAGAAGACCGAGCTGCTGTGATTGAGGCCTCCCATCCCACTGCATTGGGCCTTGACCCTGTGAAGGGTACGGACATGGGGGAGTGGCCCATGGTGGCTGAGACCAATAAGCCCAAGGAGGGGGGATACATCCACCCCTGCTGCCCCGAGTGAGAATGCTGCGCTGAGGGCTGAGCTTGCGGTGCTGACTGCTGGGACTGGTTGTCCCGCCCACCGGAGCCGGCGCTGCTCTTCTTACCACCCTTCCCTTTAATTTTCCGACCACCGCGAGCAGGTGGCGCACCTCCACGAGCAGAGTCAGTCGCGGAAATACCCCTCCCCTGTTGCGGAAACGACGCTGGTTGCGAGGTTTGAGAGAGGAGAGCTTCCTCACCGGAATCTGGAATATCAGATGCATTGCTCTGCTCTTCCAATTCAAGCATGGAGCGCAATGCCTCAAAGGAAGGCAGCGGATCGAGGTGTCAAACAGAGGATCGAAAGGATTTGTAGTCATCGGTGAGACCCTTCAATAATTGCAGAGCCATTCGATGATCAGAGACCGTATCTCCAACGTTCCTCAGATTATCCGCAAGAGTTTTCAGATATGAGCATTACGGTTTAACACCATCAAACTGTTCAAGCTTGGTGTTTGTGAATTGTGCATCAAGGGTCATAGCACGAGCAGCCTTGTTATTTAGAAAGAAATTCTCCAAACGTTTCCAAGCGTCGACCGCTTTGTCATCGGGGTCGGCAATGGTGTTGAGCAAATCAATGGATATTGTCCCATATATCCATTGACGGACAAGGTCATCAAGACGTTGCGAGAAAGCCAATTCAGCAGCAGAAGGTTCGGGTTTCTTAGCAGAGGGATCAACCAGTGGAGGAATGATAATATCAATTACCATATTTGCGCGGCAGTGAAGTTGAAAGAGAGTTCTCCAAAGGTTGTATTGAGTTCCCTTGTAATTCAGAGTAACCGGAATACATGTCTTGATGTTGCTAACAAGTGTGGTCGGATGTAGCTTACTAGAATCAGCCATTAGAGAAGAAAAGAAGAAGAAGATTAGATGAGCGGAAGAGAGGTAGGGTTTTGGATTGAAAAACCTAGACTCGTGATACCATGAGAGAATATTTGCCGTGCCTTTCTCATTGATCATGAAACAGTATATAATACAAGCGTAAGCTAGGTTAGGGTTAAGGCTAAACTAGTAATTTACAAACTAATTACATACTAGATTATTTACATAATCTAACAATCTTACAGGATTTATCAACCTTCCGAATAAAGAACAAGGGCTTTATGTCTCAAAGATCGTTCAAAAGTGTCGCGTGGAGACTTATGAAGAAGGAACCAAAGTTGTGGCTTTCACTAGGGTCCATGGTGTGTGCCCTCAAGCGGCACCGTATCGTCCTCCACCGCCACGTCCAATAAACTTCGTGGCAGACCATCCCTTTATGTTCATGATTAGGGAAGATTTTTCAGGTGCTATACTCTTTGTTGGCACATTGGTTAACCCTCTACAGAAGTAAATGATGAATTTCTTTGAGAAAATTCAAAGAGATCAGAGGTTGAGTGCTTAAATTTCTTTTTGGATTAGCCATGGTTTTAAGTATTATAGTATTACTTTTAAGCATTGTACTCTGATAATGAGAAATTTATTTAGAGTTTTCTGTAAGTATTACCATAGTAATGTATGTTAAATAGGAGGAATCCAATACGAAGCAGGGCCGTCCCAACTATTACGGAGGCCTGTGCAATTATGATTTAATTAGGCTCTCTTGTAATGTATCGTCTCAAAATAAAAATGTAGAACATAGATAAAATGCGCTACTTTTGTAAAAAAAAATTATTTTGAGTAACAACGAAAATATAAATGCAAGTAAATGACTATTTAGAGAATTAGAGTTCTAAAAATAAAAAATAAAAAAATGAATATTTAGAGCAACTAAGTGAAAATTAAAGTAAAAAAAGTGCTGTGAAATACGATGTAAAACTTCAAGTGAATGAAAATTAAAGTGAAAAAAGTGCTGTAAAATACAATGTAAAACTTCAAATGAAAATTGAATATCAAAAAAGGATATATTTATTAGTTCAATTCAGTTCAGTTCAGTTTCGTTCAGCAAATTCAAAAATATTTCAACCGCACCCTAAGTGGACCCAAAAACATCCAAATAAATGATGTTAAACTACAATAACTCGTGATAAATTGAAAATTAAAAATTAAAAATTAAAAATTAAAAAATTTCCACCGAAACAGAAGAAGAGAGAGAGCAAAAAATATAGGAACACAAAGTGGATTGGGGAAGAAGAAAACCTTGAAATAAAGACGCATAGTATTGAAGAACTTAATTCACAAACTAGGAAAAAAAACACA